TGTCCTGGCTCAGGGTGGGGGTCCCCACTGGGGTGCCTGGCCAGTCTGGGTGAGGGGCTGAGGGCTGTTTTCCGGGTGGCGAGTGACTGAAGCTTCCAACCGCTCCTTGTTTTCTTCTCTTTTTTTTTTTATTCTGGGCCAGCTTTAGCTCTGAGGCCTCGCTGCTGAAAACATGGATACAATGTTTCGGTCCGGCTGGGTTTCAGTCCGGCTGTTTTCTGGGGTTTTGTTTACCTTCTTATTTGCAACATAGTATATAGTTGCTTAGACTTTGCAGCTGAGAGGAGTTGGAGTCCGCAGCAAGCAAGCCTCGTGCTCGCTTCCGTGCCTGGCTGCCGGCCGCCATCTTGGCTGACAGTTAATTTGCATATACTCACTGATTAGCCAATGAAAAGGGTAGCGGTCGTACGCTAATTACCATGTTTCTCTTTTATTAGTGTAGATTATTCAGTGCTTCCTTTCTTTCAAGAGTCAAATACCATCCACTGCCTCCCTGTTTTACTAGTAAGTCATGCTCTAAGGCAGTGGTTCTCAACCTGTGGGTCGCAACCCCGTTGGCGGTCGAACGACCCTTTCACAGGGGTCGCCTAAGACCATCCTGTATATCAGATATTTACATTAAGATTCATAACAGTAGCAAAATTACAGTAATGAAGTAGCAACAAAAATAATTTTATGGTTGTGGGTCACAACATGAGGAACTGTTTTAAAGGGCCAGAAGGTTGAGAACCACTGCTCTAAGACCATCAACACTGTTTTTAAAGCACAGGCATATGTCAAAGATATAGCAGGTTTGGTATCAAACCACAGCAATAAAATGAATATCACAATAAAGCAAAGCATAATCTGTTTGCTGTTGAGGGTCTTGCCTTCAACTTTTAAAAACAAAACATCTGTGAAACGCAGTAAAGAAAAGCGCAATTAAACAACGTATTCCCAGAATTTATCAATCTTATTGGTGAGATTAGTCTTTTTACCATTTTTTTTCTAGTCAGCACGCTAAGACTTCTTGCAATACAAAATAAATCTGTTATTTTTAAACCAATGTGTGTTGAGCTTTTTGATACTTTGAAGAAAAAACATATCCCAACTCATGCATCTACACAGTAATTCACAGTAATGTATAACATGGAATGCCAAGAATATGTATGGTGAAGGGTGGGGGACTCTACAACTAAAATTAGTTTTCATTCATTCTTACCTTTTTGGAATTAAATTAGAAAACAATTTAACAGGGTGAGGGAGCATATGGTGCTATGTTGTTTACTTGTTAGTCAAGTATTCACAAAGTATTTCCATACTATTTATAAATGAAAAAATAAATAAAAATGTTATTACCTTTACACTCAGGAGGGTCACTACTCCATTTGTTTGGCCCAGAACAAATCAGTCTGCTCTCTCCAACAAGTGAATATTCATCTGGCCCATTCGAAGTTTTACAACGGTAAGTTACCATTTCATTATATTCAAATGTATCCTTGTCGCTATTGCTGAATTCTCCATTGGGTATTTGTTGAGGTGGTTGACACAAAATCTCTTAAAAAGAGAAAAAGAGAGGACAGGAAAGACAAAAGTAAAAGTAAAAGATTAAGGTAGCATTAGTAATGTCTATGAACTGCCTTCAATAAATTCATTAACATATGATTTCTACAATCTAGATGTATATCCAATATCTATTTGGAACAAAGTTTCTATGAAAAAAAAGTATTATTATTATCTTTTTCAGCCTTAGGAGTTATATAGAGAAATTTGCCAAAGGTACAAATGGTGTGTTAAAACAACAGCCCAATCCTGAGGTCTTCATTTAAGCCATATGTTTGATGAGTTTGCAAACACGTAAAACAATGACACTATTCTCACTTTTTTGAAAATTTTGTTTTCCTTAAAAAAATGTTGTATATATTAGTATGTATTGTGCTTATTGTTCTTAATAATGAATTAATAAGCAATAATTTTTTAAAACTTTTCAGGGTTAATTCCAATATAATGGAATAGCAATAGCCATATCCCACCTGAAGAAAAGCTATGTGGGGTCTTTTTAAATGTAAAAGCATAAAGTCAAATCAAGGCCAAAATTTTGAGTACTGCTGTAAATTCTAAAGACATAATATACTTACTTTCACAGAGTGGGGGCTCATCACTCCAAACTACATCATTTCCAGAAAGTTCACAATGTATAACTGGTGATCCAAGTAAGTAATAACTAAATAAGAAAAACAAAGATAATTGTTGTGCTGCTTTTTTAGCCAGTTAACATGATGCATATAATAGCGAAGAAAAATTTTATATGGTTGTTTTTCTGCACTAAAATAGCTTGAGGGAAAAGTTTCTTAAATAGCCTATCATGAAAGTACTAACTAAATCTATAATTTAATGAAAGAAAGAGTGTGCAGAGCCAGCTCAGCCAAGGGTTCACAAGCCTGAGTGAGGGCCGCGAATGGATGAAGAAATGATAGAGAGAATAAGCTGCGCCTGGCTGAGGCCACAGAGAGGGATCCAGAGGCAAGCTGAGCCTTTATTTTATAGCCAGAGGTAAACAAGGTAGTGGTCACCATAGTTACAATGTTCTTGTGAGTTTCACTTGTTTTGGCAGCACTTGCTGCATCTCCCTCAGCCCATTAGCTTCCCAGATAAGATCTAGGGAGTGTCATAAGGTCAAGCCTAATTATGCTAAGAGGACTGTGCCCTCTAAGCTGGGACTTGTTTGTGGCTTTGCCAACAGGTCAGTCCGAGGCTTAAACCCTATAGCCACGCCCTACAAGAGAGTTGCTGCATTTGAGCACACACTGACCTAGAGCAAACTATGTACACATGTGCTTGTGGGTCTGGCCTCTCTGCTGTCTGCAGCAGGCACATCAACATTCCCTTGTGCCCGAGTTCATGCCATTCTGCCCAGGCAGGACAATGACTGCGTAGAGAGGTCAGGCCCGAGAGCTTCCCTGCCTGCACTGGAGTCCAGCCCCACAACTGACCTGCTCTTTGAGCTGGGCAAGTCCCTTTCTCTTTCTCAGGTTCCTCATCTATGAAAAGAGGATAATAGTATATACCTCGTGGGACTGCTGTGAGTAGATGAATTAGCATGTGGAACATGGTGAGTGCTGCCTAAGTTTCAAGTCTTATGAATACTCCTCAGGCCCTGGCTAGAGTGGCTCCGTTGGTTGGAGTGTCCTCCTGTACACCAAAAGGTGGTGGTTTCATTCCTGGTCAGCACACATATTCAAGTTGCAGGTTCGATCCGTGATGGGTGTGTATGGGAGGCAAGCGATTTATGTTTCTCTCTCATATCAATGGCTGTCTGTCTTACTCTCTCTCTTTAAAATAAATATTAAATAGCAAAAAAGAGAACAGAGGACTTCAACAATATAATAAGCAAACTATATCTCACAGACATAGACAGAGCACTCTACCCAACAAAAGAACACATAGTGTCAGGTTCAAATGAGATGTTTTCCAGGACAGACCATATTTTAGACAGACTAATAAAAGAAAATAAATTTTTAGTAAACTAATTACATACATCATTAATAACAAACATATATGGCCACTAATTAATACTAAATAATAAGTTTTTTTAAAATATATATTTTTATTGATTTCAGAGAGATGAAGGGAAAGGGAGAGAGACATAGGAACATCAATGATGAGAGAGAACCATTGATCAGCTGCCTCCTGCTAGCCTGCACTGGGGCTCGAGCCTGCAACCCGGGCATGTACTCTGACCTGGCAACGAACCAGTGACCTCTTGGTTCATGGGTCGGGCAATAATCAATAGTTTTTAAAAATAGATAGTCAAAGTATCTTCCGACCACATGGGATGAAGTTAGCAATCAATATCACAAGAAAGATTAGAAAATTAACAAAGTTGTGAAAACTGAACAACACTTTATTTATTTATTTATTTATTTATTTAATTTTTTAAATATATTTTATTGGTATTTCACAGAGAGGAACTGGGGATGTGCCCGCAACCAAGGTACATGCCCTTGACCGGAATCGAACCTGGGACCCTTCAGTCCGCAGGCTGACACTCTATCCACCGAGCCAAACCAGTTAGGGCAACAACACTTTTAAAGAACCATTGGAACAAAGAAGAAATAACAATAGAAATTATAAATTACTTTCAGATGAATGGAAATGAAAACAACCCCAAACTTGTGAGACAGCAAAAACAGTGCCATGGGGGGAATTTACAGCCATAAAAGTTTATAATAAAAAATGAGATCTGAGCCCTTGCCAGTGTGCTTCAGGTTGGTTGAGTAGCCGTGGGCACCACAAGGTTGCCACTTCGATTCCTGATCAGGGCACAAACCCAGGTTGCAGGTTCGATCCCCAGAGGTAATGGATCCATGTTTCTCTCTCACACATCGATACGTCTCTCTCTCTTTCCTTCTCTTTCTCTGTCTCTAAAATCAATGAAAACATATTTTTAGAAAATGAGATCTGAGCCCTAGCCGGTTTCGCTCAGTGGATAGAGAGTCAGCCTGTAGACCCAAGTGTCCTGGGATCGATTCTAGTTAAGGTCAAGGGCACGTACCTTGGTTGCAGGCTCCTCCCTGGCCCCGGCCCTGGTCAGGGCTCATGCAGGAGGCAACCAATCGATGTGTTTCTCTCACATGGATGTTTCTCTATCTTTCCCTTCTCTTCCTCTCTCCCTAAAAATCAATGGAAAAATATGCTAAGCAAAATAAGCCAGTCAGAGAAAGATAAATATCACATGATCTCACTCATTTATGGAATATAATGAACAACATAAACTGATGAACAAAAACAGATCCAGAGACAGAGAAGCATCAATCAGA